TTTTAAAAACATACTTGTTATCCATTTTTTAAGACAAATGCAATAAATTAAATAAGTTACGATTATCATATCAATTTAATTTAATTTTTTTTTTTTGTGAATGACATATACAAAGGTTCTAACAAAATAAACAGTTTGAATAATCAATATAAGACCTATGATAAGTCTCACAGGCCCGAACAATACCCTCCAATTATTTTTGGAGAACTATAGTGAAGCCAAGAACCATAGGCTATCCCATGTTATAACATGTCACTTTGCAATATAAAAAAAAAATGTACCTTGCTTGAGGAGTTTTCTAGGGTTCCAATCAATATTTCATTTATATGTGTGTCACAATAGGTTTGGAGGTACTTGGTTTTTGAAAGAAAAAACATCAAATATATATATTTGTTGAATTTTTAGAATTTATTTTCTTAAAAAGAAAATAATTTGTCAAAAAAAAAACATAAAAAATTATTTGTAAATTAAAAAAAAATTATTTCTTACATAAAAAAGAAAAAATATATAAATAAACAATGAGTATTATTTTATTTTTTTTTACCAAATTAGTTTTTAAAACTCTAAAGGGTGAGTCGTGAGATTGGAAAAACATATTCCAAAAACCAGAGGCACCCGTGCAATATGCAACAATATTTTCGGTTTTAGCCCCGTGCTTTCCTTCTCGTCTCAGCATATCATAAATAGAGAAAATTACATTAACCTCCCACAAACTTTTTGATAAATACAAGTAGCCCGTTAAACTTTTGAAGCAACAATACATCCGCACAATTTCTTCCCTATAAACTTCTCCGAATGACGTGGTAAGATTGGCTGAAAAATTTTAAGAAAGGAAAGGAGTGTGACAGTATGGATCATTAATTTGTATTTTTCTTGTCATTTCGTTTGAAAGGGTTTATTGAGAAAAATTTATGTGAATGAAGTATTTTTTATTTCTAAAATTACAATGCATATCATGCTAGATGTTGAGCCGGCATTGTTAGTGGAATGTCTACTTTATATAATTTTATCTTTTTTTTTTATTCTTTTTTTTTATGTTATTTAATCGCTTTATGAAGTTTCTTTTATTAAACTTTATTAGGTAATTTGTTGTCTTGTTTGAAAAAAAGAATCGTTCTTTTGTTGAATTTCTATAATTGTTAGATTATAATGGTTGTAATGTAAAATTCTCTTAAAATTTGTAAATAATCTCAAATATTTATGTATATTATTATATTAAGTGAAAGTTGGACTTAGTTTATAGGGAAAATTATTTATAAGTCCTATTAGAGGGAAAATTATTTATAAGTCCTATTAGGGAGACTTATACTACATATGGTCCTATTAAAAAATTTATGTTCCCATAAGTTCTGTAGAAAGTTTGTTGATACATTTATCCTCAATATTAGTTGTTAATATCATAAATAATAATAAAACTATATATAGGAAATTGAATGTTACCATAAATCATATCTATATAAACATAACATAATGTGATACCTATATAAACGTAACGTGACACCTATACGTAACGTGACGCCTACATAAACGTAACGTAACACCTATGATCTATGGCAATATTCAATTTCTTATATAGGAATTGAATGTTACCATAAGTCATATCTACATAAACGTAACGTAACTTGACACGTACATAAACGTAACGTGACACCTATGATCTATGGCAACATTCAATTTCCTATATAGGAAATTGAATGTTTTAATAGATCATATTTATATGAAACGTAACGTGACACCAACATAAACCAGCAACATTTTCACATTCAATTTTAAAAAATAAAAACTTATTAAGTTTGCGAAACGTAACGTGACACGTTACGTTACGTTACGTTTATGTCGGTGTCACATTACGTTACGTTTATGTAAGTGTCACGTCACGTTACGTTACGTTTATGTAGGATCTTGTGAAATACATTCTTATCTAAATAGAATTTGAGACTCTATAAGAAATTTCATAGGACTTAGCATAACATAAGTGTCCGAAAAATGACTTATAAATAAATCTCCCTAGTTTATACCACGTGTCCTTTAATTTTTTTTTAAAAAACATACGCACACACACACACACAAAAAACAAAGAGAAGATTAGATAGATAGGAGAAGTAAGATTCAAACCTTGGACATTAGGTCTATTGAAGAAGACTTTGCGTTAAATAAAAAAATATATCTATATATAAATAAAATAAAAAATAAAAAAACAAAACAAAAGAAGAAGAAGAAGTAAGCTCTTACGGGTATCCATTAATAAATATTTTATTTTTATTTTTATTTATTTGAATTGCACACGTATCGTATATGTTAACCTCTAGTTCTTATATTAAGTGAACATCTTCGGTTGAACTTTCTCTCTCTTTATGTTAAGTGTCAAATTCTCTATTAAAAAAAATAATTAAATAGAAAAGGTAATATGACTTGAACCTAAAATTAGGGGACTGGTGAAGAACTATTTAAGTCACACATAATATATAATAAATATTTTTATTTTGTGAAAATACCCCTATAGTGAAGAACTAGTTAAATGACACATAACATACATATTTTGTTTTATGATAATAACTAGGAGTGTAAATGGCCCACGGCCCGAAGCCTACCTACGGCCCGGGATGGGCCCGACCTATTTAGACTCTTTTGGGCCCGAGCCCGAGTCCAGTCCGAGACCCTAGGCTTGGACCTAGACCATCATTTTAAGGTTCGGCCCATCGGTCCGCTTAAGGTCCACTCAAGGCCCGGTTCGAGGCCCAGTGTCTTTTTTAGGGAAAATAATAAAATTTTGGTAAAAAAAATAAAAAAAAAATTGTTTAGGCCCGCCCAAGCCTGAGGTCCACTGGCCCGCTCAAGGCCCGAATACCTCCTGGGCCTGAGCCTGAGTCTGAGCCTAATTTTGTATCCCGTGGGCTGATCCAATTTTTGGTGGGAGCCCGTGGGTCGAGCTAAGCCGGGCTAAATTTACACCCTTAATAATAACCCTATGGTAAAGAACTACTTAAGTGATATCCCAGACTTATTGATAATAAATATTTTTATTTTGTAAAAATACTCTTATAGTCCCTATAGTTTAGTGTTAATGTAAAAATTATCGGTAGTACTACATGCACCAATTAATGTATACACTAGTATACCAACTAATGTTATACCATTATTAACGCCACCTATTATACAAATTACAAATACTCAAAACTTCTAAAATTATACCACATCTGTCAGTATATTAGTTGGTACATTAATTGATACATATAATATTATTTAAAAACTATATTAAGTAGATAAGAAGATTTAAAATCAAGATCATAGCAAGTTAGATATTTATTAGGGGGATTTGGTGATAGACCCATTTTTGTCTAATTTGTCTTTCAAAAAGATAATAATTATATAGGTACTTTCAAAACCACATAATATTTTAAAACTTGTTTCTTTTACTATACTACCCTCATAGCTATCAGCTCTTCTATTAAGCCATCCTCACAGCGTATTTTAAAGTAAAATTTTACTCTGAATCAGAGTAAAAATTTTACTTTGAATCATAGTAAACTTTACTCTTATTTAGAGTAAAATTTTACTCTGAAAGTACAATTTTACTATGATCTAAGGAGAGTATCCATTTTGAATTACACTAAGTGTCATGTATTAATAACCTTGCGTGTTTGGTTGCTGAGAAAAACACATAAACATAACAAGAAAATCAAATATAGTCTTATTCTCATTGTTGCTTTGATGTTTAAATGATTAATTTCTCAACTTTTCCCTCATCCTCTTGGGAATCAAACAGAAAATAACATCAAAATCAACAATCAACAAACACAAACAACACTTTGAAACATGTATATATATATTCACATGCAACTGATACATGTAGATAGAGAAATATATATACACACATATATATGTAGTATAGAATCAGATCTCCAAATTTCCTTCTCAAAACCTTATAAACATCAATGAAATAAGATTTAAGATTGGAATTTCAACAATCAGACAAATATAAGACCTTGATAAAAAACGCCTTCCGAATTTTCTCATCCGAATGGAGAGATCGGCGATGGCAGGAACTGCGAACTGAGATCGCTAACACACATACATACACACATATGTATCTATAGATCCAAATTTCTGCTATGCGCTTCGCGATCCAATCGAAAACCTCTGATTAGTCGTCGGAAATGGAAGAGGAGGAGGCACGACGGCGGATTTAGCCTCGGCGATGGCGAAGGAGGAGATCGCGGATCTCGACGACAGTAGAGAAGAGAATTTCGGCGAAAATGGTGAGGGAGATGAGGGACATGGAGAGGCTGTGGAGGGCCGAGGAGGAAGGGGCAGTTGCTGCGTCGGATGAGAAGAGGGAGGTAGAGGTAAAGGAAGAGAGAGAAAGTAATGTAAAAGGAGATGGCTGAAAGATTTAGTTGAGGGAATAATAGTCTAATAAAATATTTAAATAATAAATTTTATCCTTTATATAAGACTGTATAATTATGAGAGAGTTTTGAAAATATAATTTTTTTTCTTGATCCTTTTAATAATAAAAGGAAGATAAGAAGATTTATAACCAAATTTCCCCATTTACTTACAACACATACTATAGCCTTGTTTGCAAAGGCTAAAATAACCAATTTAAGAATAAAATTTACAAAAAGATAAAATAGATTAAAATAATTAATAAGACAAAATGTTATATCAAATCCATGATCATATCACTTTTTCTCTCATAAATATCACAACTAAAAAAAAATTTAACCATCTTTTCAAATATAAAAATTTTAACTTATTAAAATAAACAAAAATTAAAATAACATGCTTCCCACACAAGGTCTATATATGCATTTCTTATCAATTTTTTTATACTATTATTTTTTATCGAGTTGCAAGTGGCTAAAATGGTTGGATGCTTGGAGCTGCCTAAAAAAAACTTTTAAAATAATAATAGTTATTATTATTATTATTATTATTTATTTTTATTTTTTTTAAAAAAAGCGCATACTTCCTTGACCAGTTCAGCTTTTCTCTGTTTTAAGAAGCGAACCATATCTCGACAACTTTCTCTCTCTCTCTCTCACTCTCTCTCCCTAAACTGTTATTCTCTCTCATACAATGGATTCCGGCGGCGACAGTCCGATGGAAAACACATTCCGGAACCCTCGCCGGAGCTCCAACACCCAGAGATCCCATTGAACTCCATAATCTCCAGCAATAGATTCTCCTCTTGGTTCTGCTGTTCTTCACCTCTGAAACTCTCTCTCTCTCTCTCTCTCATATTTATATATACATATATATATAATTCTCTCCGGCAGCTTTCCAACCTTTTCCGTCGAGATGCGAATAATAACTCTGCCTTCTCGTTTGATTACGAATTGGGTTTGTTAACCCTGTTTCGATCCAACAAAAACTTCTAAATCCTGATTCAAAGCCTCTCTGTTTGTTTCAAATTTGCCTTTTGAATTAGCTCCGGAGATCCGTTCAAATTGATTGCTCGAGATCGGTCGATTCACTGCACTGGATTGAAAGAAAGGGCTTTGCTTCATCAGACATGTTATGTAAGTTTTACGAGATGAATTGATTGTTTTGATTATGGATTATGATATATACATGTGGAATTATAAGGGTGATGGTTTGATAGAATGATGGTTAGAATCAACAGAAGAAGAACAGTGGCATGCAAAGATCGGAAATTGTTCTCCGGTTACTGGGAAAATGATCGACAATTGAAACAGTTTAAGTAAACTGTTTTTTTTTTTTTGGCAAATTGTTATCGAATTGGGTGTGTTTGGTTTGAAGGAATTTTGCATTAGTTTAGTTGGGGGTATACTAAAGATTTGATATCATGCCATTAAAAACTGATAGAAAAGAAAAAGAAGGACAAGAAAGTACTTCAATGGGGTCAAAAAGAAGAGTTTATGATGGTTTTCAAAAAATTGGATCAACTAATTGTCTAATACCTGGTCTATATGATGATGTTGCATTAACTTGTCTTGCTTGGGCTTGTAGATCTGATTATGCTTCCTTGTCTCGCCTAAATAGGAGGTTTAATTCCCTTATAAAAAGCGGGTATTTATATGATTTGAGGAAGAAACTAGGGATTGTGGAGCACTGGGTGTTTATGGTTTGTGACCCAAGGGGATGGGAATCATTTGACCCCGTGAGAAATAAGTGGATGACATTACCTAAAATCCCATGTGATGAGTGTTTCAACCACGCAGATAAGGAGTCGTTGGCTGTGGGTAGTGAATTGCTGGTTTTTGGCCGTGAATTCTTCGAATTTGCTATTTGGAAGTTCAGTTTAATTTGTCGGAGATGGGTGAAGTGTAAAGGAATGAATCGCCCTCGTTGTTTGTTTGGGTCAAGTAGTTTAGGTTCAATTGCTATTATTGCAGGAGGGAGTGACGAGAATGGGAATATTTTGAAATCTGCTGAGCTTTACGATTCCAAAACAGGTAGATGGGAAACGTTACCCAACATGCACTTCCCTCGTAGATTGTGCTCGGGTTTTTTCATGGATGAAAAATTTTACGTGATTGGCGGAATGACAAGTCCTACTGAGTCATTGACTTGTGGGGAAGAGTATGATCTTAAGACAAGGAAATGGAGGAAAATTGAGGGCATGTATCCAAATGTGAATAGGGCTGCCGAAGCACCTCCACTTGTGGCGGTTGTTGATAACCAGTTATATGCTGTTGAGTATTTGACAAACATGGTGAAGAAGTACAACAAAGAGAAGAACACGTGGGATGTGTTGGGAAGGCTACCAGTGAGGGCTGATTCATCCAATGGCTGGGGACTTGCTTTTAAGTCCTGTGGAAAGGAACTTCTTGTAGTGGGTGGGCAAAGAGGCCCAGAAGGCGAAGCCATTGTGCTGAACTCGTGGTGCCCAGAGTTGGGTGTCAAGAATGGCTCGTTGGACTGGAAGGTCATTGGTGTGAAGGAACACATTGGGGTGTTCGTGTACAACTGTGCTGTCATGGGTTGTTGATGATTCCTTCAATACAACACAATGACTCACCTGAAGGATCACGTATATCAATCTGACCTGGTGTTCTTCGTGCTTTCACATTTATCTGATTTGACCAGAATTAGTTGTTGTTGAGGTAGTGTCTATTGTCTTGCAAGATGAGAATTTTTTTTGGTTCTCTTTAACATTCCTCCTGTATTGGATGTTCCTCACTTCCATGATCCTGCCGTCTGATTTCATGGGTACTAGATAATGTTTTTTCCATTTTGTTTTTGCCTAGTTCTGTTTCTGATTTACAGCAAACTGCGTCATACCAATAAATTGCAAAGCTTTTATTGTTTAGTGATTCAAAGTATTTTAATCCATGCTTCATCCTATGTTTTTTTTTTGTGTGTGTGTGTGTGTGTGTGTGTGTGTTTGTGCGTGCATTTTTCTTAGCATTCATTTTTGGCTCCAGAGTCTAGACCACTGCAGAATTTTGATACAAGAACATCAAAGAATTTTTTAGTGACTAATGTTACACTTGGTGCTTGGAAATGGAACTAATACTTCCTTGACTTCCGATGGTTATAATTTGTCTGCAGCTTTGTCTTGCCCTGCAGTTTTTATTTATTTATATTTTCTAAACTTTACAATGTCACAATTGGCTTCTTAGTTCAGCAGTAAACTAAACGTTTAATCTCTGTGTATATTTGTAAATATGCAAGAAATAGCGTTAAGGGAAGAGAGCCTTTGATCTGCTGCTCATTCTTGTAAGTTATTATAACTATAGACATCCATGTTTCACACAATATGAGAAGTGACATAAGATTATAAAAACACAATTCAAATTGAACATCATTCTCTTCTCTAGGCCCTTAAGTTTAAGAGACGCTTTTTGTGTGCTTGTTTTCTTCTTCTTACAAGAAGTTCTTCTTGAGTCAGAGGTAATTTCAGTGTGTTACACAATGTGGTCAAGCTGGTTTTCTAGAATGGGATTCTTTGGGGCCAACACTGAGCCTCTTTGCTTAGGATCAATGTTTTCATTAACTTGTTTATCTAGTCAGGCTCAATATTACAAGAATTTTTTAGCAGTTCACCAATTTATGAGAGTAACATTATTAATGTCTTCAAAAGCAATTTGATCTGTATACGACCTACCATCACTTTTCTTTCATAGCTTTTGAATCAGCCATGGACAGGGTGAATAAATTGAAAGAATGCACTAGCCACTGTAAGTACAAGTTCTGCCCCTGTTTGATTAAAGAAATTGATTCCTCATTATGAGATGTCATTTTCTTGTTGCACTGTCACTGGAAAGAGTTATTACCTGGAATCTCCATTATAAATAAGGAAGAAGGGTGAGGTTTACTCAATGGTTTTCTAAATAAAGAAACCTATGGCACCGATCCATGAGAACTATAGTTAGATGGTAACAGCAAGAATTAGAAACATATTTTCAATCAAATGCAATGTCAAACTCTGTGTAGGTTGTTATTTTGCTGATTAAATAAGAATGCATTACTTTTGTATTCCAATCGAAATTAAATCTCTAGCTCTATAAGACTATAGGATGCATTAGGGACTGGAATGAGGCTGTTATATTCTTTCATTACACTTGAATCTAGTCTACTTTCTTCAATAGGATCGTTTCTGGAGGAACTACATGTATCTAGGGATTAGTCAGGATGGGATGCCTTATTTTTAAAAAAAAAGAAAAAAGAAAAACAGTGTTAGATATGTGGTGAGTATGTTATTTATGGTTCTGTTTGTTGATCAATCCAATGTCACATGATTCCCATTGAATGGGCGTGTTTTTGATGATGGTTGATGAGCTCATTTCTGAACCGACTTTAGCCATACTTTCATGCATTGTTGTGATAAGCAATGAATGTGTGCCAAATCAATCATAAATTCACGAGTGTGAAGTGAATATGTTTCAAACTTTCAAACTGGAGTTGCGACTTAGGCTATGTGGATCTTGAATTTATTGATTGAAGTAAAATATAGAAGAAATGAAATTTGCATATATGGATTAATTTTCATTCCTCTCCTTTTTTCTATTTTTTTTTTTTAATTTGCAAATTTAAGGTTCAAACACAACAATAACGAATGTACAATTCATATTGTCTTTATATATTTTTGTTGTGTTTGGATGTTGAATTTGTAAATGGGTTTGTGGAGAAAAAAGATTAGAGAAGGAATTTATGCAAACAAATAAAAAATATTTTGTACACTTTTGTCCCCCTTTCTCATTGCATATTATAGGGAAATTCTAATGTACACACCCTTCAAAAGAGTATACCATATGCACCCCTAAATTATATTACGTCTTTTTCTTCTTTAGTTATGGTGAATTTTTTTTCTTTAGTTATGATATTATTTTGAGATGTTTGGTTATGTCTTAGGTAATGTTTGGCTATGACCCTTTTTTTTTCTCTTTTTTTTTCTTTTTTAGTTAGGACTTCAAAATTATGAAGTTATACCATCTTCTTCTTAAGTTATAAGGCGCATATAGTGCATCCCTTTGAAGGGTGTATACCATAGTCTTTCCCCTAAGTTATGTTATTTTCTTCCTTAGTTATGGCCAATTTTCTTATTTTCTTATTTTATTATAATTTTATTTTAGTTATGACTCATGAGATTTTTGGTTATACATCCTGTGTTGTTTGGTTATAACTTTTTATTTTATTTTATTTTAATTATGACTCAAAAAGTATGAAGTTGTGTTATTTTCTTATATAGTTATAAGGTACATATGATATACACCATTTAAGAAGTGTGTTCCATACTGTTTTTCTAATGTTTATTAAATAGTTATTAATCTAAGGGAGTGAAATTTACTCGTGACCAGCATGGTGAGGTGTAGAAATTTTAATCCATTGAGCTAACCAAATTCTGCAAACAAATAGCATACCAGATTGTTAAATTATGATATTTCTGTATTAGAGCATGTTAAAATTTAATTTTGACATTATCATTTTGACAATCAATTTTATTAGAGATGCTTTTATGCATAGCTTGTGGAAGGGCAAGGGTGAGAATGCAAAAGAATTTAGTTTGGATTCCCTCTAAAGCATAATAACAAACACAGAGGTTTCAGTAAAGTGTAGTGTATATATATCTTCTTTTTTGTTGCTTAAAGAGAGTGGGGCACATTCAATTGTGGATGGCATATTCTCAGAAATAAACATAATACAAATTGTGGGGACCATGTGGGTACTGAATCAACCCCATCCTGAGAGAGTGCTTTCTTGATTTGGCAAGTCCTTCTACTGTAAAGTACACCCCTTACCATCAATAGTACTAAAACACATTTGTAAAGAGCATTTGCCAGGCAGGTGGCCCTCCAGGCCCAACCCAATAGTTTTCTCATACAAGCCCATTGGGCTGATAAGATTTTAACCTATGGGCTGTTTTTTTTTTTTTTGGTACTAACCTATAGACCATATTTGAGAATAATTTTGTGTCCTGGCCCAGCCTAAGAATTATCATACTCATATATATTATATATATTAATGAGTGACACACGCAATGTCTGTGCAATTCAGATAAATAAGTATAAAAATAAATAATAAAGAAATTAACATCATAATATGTATGTTGTCTAAATAGATCTTACTCACGCATTTGAATAATATTTTTTTATTTTGGGATAGGAAAATTTGCTACGTGACAGAAGAAAAAGTCATTACACTATTAGACACAAGTCATGTGCTCCCATATATAATAGTATAGATATATATTCAGAAAGTTATATGTACAACACAAATGTATAATCTAATCTAGGAAAGGAGGGAACAAAAGTCGAAACCAGACCTTGCTTATGGTAGGTAAAAATGACCCTGCTTATGGTAAAAAGGGCCTTACCACTTGGGCTATCCTTTTGTCTCTGTATCCATATATGTTAGTTATAATATATATATATATATGTGTGTGTGTGTGTGTGTGTGTGTGTGTGTGTGTGTGTGTGTGTGTGGCATTTTATTTTACTTTATAGTTTGAAAACATATAATTAGGAGAATTTAAGAAGTTGGAGCAGTAGATGATTGCTTTTGCCATGACTATCAAAGAGCTTGAGGATGGGCCGAACACAGTCCAATACACACTTCATTTTTATGCACTTTTATGCAGTTTAAGCCCGGCCCAGCCCACTGCTTTAGGTGGAGTGGTTCTCATGCAGACAATGGCTCCAATTTATTTATTTTTATACAAGGTTAACATCACTTAAAAACAAAATTAACAGTTTTAATAAAATTGGTTTAAAATACAAAATTAGTCAATTTGAAGTAGGTTTATTTTTAACTTACTAAATTATGTTAAAAATTATTTTCTAGATGTAGACATTATTTATAGAATATTATTGACAATACATGTAACAAATGCTTCCACAGAAAATAATAATAATAATGATAATAATAAATCAAAATTAAAATAGATAAAATCATACCTAACATAGTTGATGTTACAAGATATGTTAACTGGATCAACCATAATATCCACTGAAAATAATGCGTTTGCAAAATCTTGAATACAAAAAGCATAATCAATAATTTTACATGTCAAAAAACAAGAAAAATATATTTCAAATAAAAAGTATATTTAATAAAACCATAAAGGGCTTCACATGAATTTTTTGCCTTAAATAGGCTTGAGTCGCCTTTGCTAGGGTTTTGTCAACAATGGATTCATCGAGTGTTTAAGATGCAAATCTTCATCTAAATCAGCTTTCAAACTAGGCTATGCCAATGTTTTCAACAGCACATAATTTCACACTTTAAAAACAAGCATACATATAACAGCAATGACATAGGTAGGTATCAGAAAATCACACATAAGATAGAAATTATTGCACAGTAGGCATAATAGTAAAACACAATAGATATTTCCTCCATAGCATAGATGAGGAACTTAAAACAAACAGGTCCAAACATGAAAGAACAAAGATAGTTCAACACAACAGAGGTACATTTGTAGATTGGATGATATTCAATCCACACTTACCTCATTTATTCTCTCCAAACAGAGCAACATTCTGAAAACAAGAAACAAAGTTCGCCAAACTTACCACGGGGGTTCAGTTCCCCCACAAGCGATGAACAAAGACACCACTGTTTCTGAGACCCCTGAAAAGGCTCATGCAGTCTCCACACACAGCATTTGTGCAGTCCACACTGTCTGAGCAGCAAAGGAAGAGTTCATCAACATGGCATATTGCTCCACTTTCAAATAATGCAAAGAGAATTTTCAACTCCACCTCCCTTGCATTCATCATAAGGACGACAAAGTCACCATCTTTAACTGTTCTTCTAAACCAACGTGTAAAATCAAATTCTTCGTCATCTGGTGGTGCACAAAGATCCTCATCAGAGCTGAGGCTGGTGGTAGCCTTGCCTCCTGCAAGGCCTGGATAATAAACAAAGGTGACACCAGGTTTTTTCACATGAGATGAAATGACAGAAACATCATGATCCACAACATAAATGTTGAAAGCTTGAGGCTGGATTGGATAAAAGGGATTGAACATTTCTGAAACGCTGGAGTTCACAAATTCCCCTGTGCCTACATTAATATAGATTAACCTGTTCCGTGAGGAAATATTCATAAATTCAGGTAAATATGAAAGTTTTTCTTTGAATGGTCCTGAACGTTTGCCCACAAGAGGCTCCATGTTCTTTATAAAGGGCTTATTGTTGGAAACCGATGGGCACTCACTAGGAAGCCGGTAATGTTCAAAGGAAGCAACTTTATCAAATCTTTTCTTGAAAATCACCAGAGTGAAAGATTCAATATGACATACATGAACAACGTTAGAACTTCTCAGGAACGACGAAATCGGTGTGGCAGACCTTATCAAACTACCCGAGTACAAATTACCACCGACAAGCATAGCACCAGTGCCACCAGGTCGCAAGACACGCTCAATCTCAGCCACAAGAAGGGCAGGGACAGAAACCCTATCAATAGCTCTAGAGAACAGAAAATCGAAATAATTATCCTTGAAGTCGAGCTCGTACACGAAACGTTTCCTCAAAAGCGAGAAAAAGGGGTGTATACGTACACCAAAGGCACTGGAGAATCCCAATTCTCGCAATGCGAGGACAGCTGAAGCCGATCCTTCCCCAACGCAAAGAGCTTTACCACTAGAATCCAACAAGTTCTTCTCCATAAGCTCTTTGAACATATTAATGGTCAAATTTTCAGTTTCCTTACACGGCGTGAAAAACAGTGACCCAAGAAAGGGGAATTTAAATGCTGATACGGGTTTTAAAAATCCAGTGAAATTGATATATGGGTTTGAGCCAATGCTCAGTGGGCATTCATCAAATTTCATAGCTAGAGGCTCCATTGTCCGAAAATCATGGACGATTTGAAAGTAGGGAATGATAGCCATAGCCAGAACAAACAAGAAAGCTCTTAGAATCAAACGCCTCGCCAATGAGCCACGAATGATTTGCCATTTCAGTGCTTTGAAATCCATTTCCGAGTAGTTCTAATCAAGTTTCGGCTTTTCGAGTAACAGATCTAGGGCACGGTTCGATTGAAATTTAAGGAAAGTGTTGATTTTTTTTTTTTTGAGAAATCAGATCAAACAGTGGAAATTGAACACGGAGAATTGAGAAGGAAGCGATTAGCGAGTGCAAAACCTGGAAGAGGTGTGATTTCCACCCACGAGGACACCCATGGATTTTTGAAACCCTAACCAGACCCTCCTCGGAGCCCTCCTCGGCATCGGCTCGAACCACTTTTGAACCATCTTCGATTTCCAATTGAATTCCCTACATTATCAGAAAAAATCTTTGAAACAAGAATGAAATCTACATAAATGGAATGTATTGAAATTAGGGTTAGGGTTAGGGTTTGGAGAAATGGAGTAGAGATGGATCGGAGAAGAGAAGGGAAGCGAAGTGAAAGTGAGTGTGTGAAGGTGTGGCGGGCGTGGGGGTGGTGAAGAAGGAGTTCGAGTTGTGAGAGGACTGAGAAGGTACTGTCAGTGTCGGCCGCGTACACGTGTCGTGAAGTGAGTGGATAGAAAGAGGTGGCTCATTATTGAGTTTGTTGGCTCTGTTGAATTGGAACCCACTTCGCTTTCGGGTCGGAGACTCCGAGTGTCGGTTTCAGATTTTTACCCCATTTTTTGGGCACAGTTACGAGCTATCAATTGTTTGGAAAATACTTAGATTAGTATACTTGTTTGATTTTTTATTAAAAAAAAAACTTATAAAATATGAGTTGAAATTGAAGTGATACAATAAAAAAATAATGTGATCTAAATAAAATATTATGATTCAAATAAAATAATTTATTAAAATAACATGCATTATTTTAACACATATTAAATAACACCAAAATTTAAAACTAATTATTTCGTTAGTAGCCTCTCTCTCTTTAGTTTGAGGGCTTCTCTCTCTAAATTTTTCTCCCCCCTAGGGTTTCAAAGTTTGTGGCTGTCGGCGGTAGGGAAGGGATTTCCTGCAGCCTCCAGCCCCCTCTCCCCTCTCCCTACCCCTTTCTTGCTTTTTCCTTTCCTTACTTAGCTTTCCCATAACTTGGAAGCCTTGGCTTTCCTTCTCTCCCTTCTTTGTGAGGTGTTTTTCTCACATCCATTCACTCCCGGAGTGGCCTTCTCAGATCCGCGCCTTCACCGCCTTTTCCGCGTCGTCTTCTTCTCCGTTGCCTTCGCCGACGCCGGATTCGCCTCCCCAGCAGTCTTCATCGTCTCTTCTCCGCTCCTCCAGCCGCCTTCATCGCCTCTTCTCCACCGCATCTTCCTCACCGTTTTTCTCCATCGTCGGTTCCGTCGAAGCCGTTGCCAAATCTGTTTGGGTGTGGGTCTGTTTTTGTTTTGTTTTGTTAGTTAGATTTAATCCCTTATTTGTTTTCTTTGGTATTCTGTTCCTTTGGTTTGTGTTGGTTATGGGTGTGTTTTGGTTCTCTTAGAGTCCATCTGTGCGATTTGTTAAGCTTACCCTCATTGTGGTTGAAATCTATGATTTATTTTGGACATGCTCTATTGCCGAATTTTTATGATTGGCTCTGCGTTGCAGTACGAGCACGAGTACTATATGTACGTCCGAATATTTTCATAGTTTTCTTCCTTAGTGCTTATTGCTTTATTTTCATTTTGTTTGGTTTAAATTTTGGATTGTTTGGACTCTTGTAATTGTCATTTTAGCTTTCTTAATGACATATTTCTTCCGATAAAAAAAAAAAACACCAAAATTTATTATTAAAAAAGTTTACTCTAATTTTTTGTGATAAATTTATGATTATAAAAATATATAATTTTCACATTATATTTTAATATAAATGAATTACAATTCACAAATGAAAGTGTGGGTCTAAAAATTAAAAAAATAAATAAATTTTTTTTTTAAACTTTTGTTTCATCATATATATAAATATATATTTTATATTTTGCTCATTGTTTTTTTCTTAATAAGCTTGTTAATTTAATGTTTAATTTTCTGTCTTTTTGAACTTGATCTCAAACTCAATTGATTTATGTAATTAAGTTTTAGGTTTCGTTTGTTAATAAATTATTTTTGTAATTTTTTAATTTTTAGACTAAAATATGAGTAAAAGAATTAATATGTTTAGAATGATTTTTATTTTTTTAAAAAAAATACAAAAAACAAAGAGAAAATAAAATATTTAACTTTTTTATATAATTTGTTAGTTTTTTTATTTTTTTAATTATTTTTTCATTGTTTAAATTATGGATTGTCAAATAGGCCTTCAAGGACAACTGCTCATTTGAAAATAAGTTATTTCAGTAATTTTTTTATTTTTTACTAAAAGATGTGTAAAAAAATAAAGAAAGTAATGTAACAATTTATAATAATTTTTTGACTAAAATACGTCGTCCCCAAACCAAGCCTTAAGTTGAGCTTAAAATTTTACAAAAATTGGACAAGATAAGTTCAAACTTGAAGGCTTGGTTTGGAATCATAGGCCAAGGTTTAGCTAGTTATAAAATTACAAAATAGATTAAAAAGTTAATAAGATAAAATATCACATTTAATCATAATTATTTTAATTTTTCTCTCAAAAAAATATAAAATAAAAAAATTCATTCTAAACAAGATTTTTTAGCTCAGACCAAGGCCTTATTTGGTAACATCATTTTTTAACTTAAAAGTCAAAAAGTTTTTTAAAAAAAAATAAAAAGTCAATAACTTATACCAAAAAATCAAATATTTTATTTTCTCTCTACTTTTTACACATATTTTCATAAAAAATTAAAAAATTATTCTAAATATATATATTTTTTTACATCATATTTTAGCTAAAAATCTAAAAAATTATTTAAAAATCATTGGAAAACAGACTTTTTTAATAATTTTTTACTTTTTATAAAAAACAATGTGTAAAATATAAAGAGGATAATGCGACAGTTTATAATAATTTTTTAACTAAAATATTTAATTAATAAACGAAACCTAAAAGTTAAAAAATAAAAAGTTGACCCCCTTTTCAAACGGACTTTAAGTTCAAAATTGAGTTCAGTTGGAGTTTAAACTGAGATTAATTTTTAAGGAGCTAAATTATAATATATTTTTGAAAGGTCAGTTTCAATTAATTGTAATATTAAAGGGGAACACATGTCGGATTAAGGATCGACTTTTGATGTAAGAAAAGAAGAATTTGAGTGGGTAGTTGGCAGTTCTTGGCCATGCTCAGGAAATGCCATTTTAAATGGTGATTGTGAGGATGATGCCCATCAATTCATTGTTTTATTATTATAAAGAATTTATTTATAAATGAATTTTTCCCACCACTCAAGTCACCTCAAGGAAGGAGCAAGGCCACATGCTAGAGGTAGAGACACAGAGAGAGATGGGTCCGCTTCCACATTTATGGAATATTTCTATGATTATAGTTATTTACAATGTTTGGTTTTAAAATGAAAAAAAAAAAAAAATTAGAGAGAGAGAAAGTACGGGAAAGCATTCACTATGCCTCCGTTTGAGAAGTGGGTTGGCTTTTTGACTTTTTAATTTTTTTGACTATTTTAGCCTAGGCTAAAAAGCTTGGTTTGGGAAGGACTTTTTGACTTTTTGGCTTTTTTGACTTTTTTTGTGAGAAAAGAATGTAATGATTATAGGTTGGATGTGATGTTTTGTTTGTTATGGCTAAAATAGCTTATTTTATTTTTTGTGGCTGAAATAGCCAAAAAAGCCTGAAAAAGCCCTTGCCAAACACAGGCTATGTTTGTTTTTAAGTTTTTTAAAATTTTTATTTTCTTATTTTTTGTATTTTTTTATTTTTATTGATTTTTTTAATATTTTAAATAATTTTTTTAATTTTTAGATACACCTAACATAAATACACTTAAAAAATATATTTTTTGTGAAAAAAATTCTTTAAAAAATTCACTAAATACCAAAAATATAAAAAAAATTACAAAAATAGTATATTTTTCATATTTTTGTGTATTTATTAATTTTTTAAAATATTTTTCACAAATATTTTATTTTTTAGTTACATCTAAGTATGTGCATCTAAAAAAATATAAAAAATGCTTAAAATTTTAAAAATATTTATTAAAAACAAAAAAAAATAAAAAATAAACTTTTAAAAAACTGAATTCAAAAAACTGAAACACACGAATTGCCTATTTTGGTTTAAATTTTAGAATCAATCTTTTTTTTTTTTTAATTCTGAAAAAGTTTAAGTTAGTTTTAAAAAATACACTAAAACATATTTTTGAAATTTTAATTTATTTTCACCCTATAAAATATATAAAATCATATGAAAATGATATATGTTTTTATAAAAAAAAATTTCACTAATATATTCTGAAAATTTAACCAAACAACATTATTTATTCTCTCATCCATTGCTTGTTTGGTTGTACTAATGAAATATATATATATATATATATATATGGGGATGGCTTCTGACCAGTCCTTAATCAGACTGGACTGTGCTGTTGGGCCAGTGGGGGCCCACCACGGGTCCCGTTTTGATAATCTAAACCGTTCAATGTGTAGAACTCGTCGAGTACTATATGCTTGTAAAAAATTACGTTAATCGGATATCGATAGCTATGTGATCAAAGCAGATTTTTGTCAACCGTTAATTTATTCACCGTCTATTTTTTTTATACAAAGCTGATTTGATCATATAACTATCGATATCCGATTAACGTGATTTTTTTTAAGCACAGTACTTGACGAGTTCTACACATTAAACAGTTCAGATTATCAAAACGGGACCCGTGGTGAACCCCCACCAGCCCAACAGCACGGTCCAGTCCGATTAAGGACCGGACAGAAGCCATGCCCTACATATATATTGTCATTGAATTTTGAATTTATGGAACGATTTGTACAATAAAAATAAATCATGAAACTTGAGGAAAATGAAGTAGATGGCAGGTTTTTTTTCTTTTTTGGTTAGGATTAAAAAAAAAATAGCCAATTTTTTCTTCTTCTTTTTTTTGGATTTTTCTGATTTTCTTTATTCTTTTCTTTTCTACCCATTTTATTTTGCTTTTATAACAGTGTTATTTGCATATGATTATTATTTTTAACAGAGGAGGGCTCCATTCATATTATCTCTTATGTGATTGGTTCTGTAAAAAAATTATCGGTTTAAGAATGCTTATTAATTCATAAGATCTATAAAATTCATATTTTGGTTAGAGAAAATATATGGAACCAAGAGTCTGATGTAATTATGAATAGTTCCCAAGGTAGTATTAGCATTCTTGTGGTAGAGGTGGAAATTGATGTTATCCCATAGGACTGTGGGTGAAAAGATTATTATAATCTCACATTATAAAAATAGCAAAGTCATCTTTTGTATAGTGAGAGTTTTTTTTACACAATTTAATATATTTGATATTCACCAATTAATAGTACCACTTGCTTCACAAACAAATGTAATTTATCTAACATCTATAATTTAATATCATTTTACTAGTAATTTCATTATTAATTTCACTAGTATAGTATAGGGGTGGGCGCGGGGCGGTTGCGGCCACGAAACC